AGCAGGAAGAAGGAAGGAAGGCAGGCAGGTAGACAGGAAAGAAGGAAGGCAGGCAGGAAGGAAGAAAGAAGGAAGGTAGGAAGGAAGGCAGGAAGGAAGGAAGGAAGAAGAAGAAGGCAGGCATTAAGGAAGACAGGAAGGAAAGCAGGCAGAAATGAAGGCAGGAAGGAAGGAATGCAGGCAGACAGGAAGGAAGGCAGGCAGGCAGACAGGAAAGAAGGAAGGCAGGTAGGCAGGAAGGAAGAAGGAAGGTAGGAAGGAAGGCAGGCAAGAAGGATTTAAAGTATGAACAAAATCTGAATTTAAAAAATTGTAAATATTTGCTAAATAACTCCAGATGCTTAAAGAAAAATGAATGAAAAAATAAAACCAATATAAATACATTTTAACCAGAAATAACTGGGACAACTAAGACCACCTAAAATAATTCTAAAATATAAATGTGGTCCGTGTTTCTGCTTTAGTAACTCCTGATAAGGTCTAATCTGAATCACTGAGGCTGGAGATCAACCAGAATTTTAATAAGAATCTCTATTTTGGCTCTAAATTAAACGTTTTTATTTCATTTTTATCTTCTTTTAAAAACAAGAACGAAAAGTGAAGCTTTACATTTTCTGACTTCTCTTTTGTTGAGTTTTCAGCTAAAGAAAATAATCTGAATTTTTCCTCCACGTGTGAACAGAAGATGTGTTTTTGACTCATCGTGACGATAAAGCAGCAGGTAAAACAGATCCACCTGCTCATCGGTGCGTTATCGTCTCATAAAACCTGAGAGACGTTCGGTTTCATCATCTACTCTAATAAATTCAGACGAGGACTCTCTCCTTCACTTTTTATTTCCAACAGAAACAAACGGTACCTGGACGCTCCCTCCAGTAAACGTGTTGATTTAATCACGCTGATTTTATCCAGCAGCTCGGCTGAAACAAAACAAACATTATTGACTTCATTTTGCATCAAATGGTTTTATTTTGAAACGGAGAGCCCACTCACCTGTGGGGACGGGCCGAGTGGGGTCGTGTAAAGGTTCAACTTCTCTGTTCCAAAGGTGAGCGGGTCGGCCTCGACGCTGCGCCTGCCGCCTCGCCTGCCGCCTCGCCAGGAGTTCATGGTACTCGGTCCAGTTTCTGCACCTTCGGACCTTAAAAAATATAAAAACCTCATGTGATCCACTACAACGTGGTATTATTTACAGTGTTTTTGTTTATTTACCTCCTTGGCCTTGTTTACATCCCACCGCTGCCTGCCTCTGGTCCTCTCCCTCCTCTGCTCCTTCGCCGACATCTTCACCTGCCGCAGGTTTATTTTATCCTTCCAGGCGGCGACGTCGCAGACCCCGACAGCCAGATCCCCGGGCAGCACCGAGGGGTCCGGTGGGGCCAAGCAGCCGGGGTCGCAGTCCCTGGAGCCCAAATCTGGGAAAGGAATGGCGCTGAAATCCCAGCGTGAGCGACGAGCCGAGGAGCCGCACAGGTCGGATCTTTCTTCCGACTCCCGCTCAGGATCATCCGTCATCCACCAGGTCCCGACCCGCTTTTCATCTGTGGAGCTGGTGCAGGCAGACTGGGTCTCAGGAGGTTCTGTAGAAGCCATCAGCTGTGACTCTGGTAGTTTATCATCCTCCGCCGTTTTCTCAGCAGGTGATTGTGCTCGTGTTTGAGTGAGACTACAGAAACAACAAAATGCTCTGAGGTGCATTAGACTGAAAACGCAGCAACAACTTCCTGCCTGTAGCTTCAAACTGTTTTATTTCTTTATTATAGGCCCGCACAGTCATACATTTATCATAACGTCAGATGTGTTTTCTTTCAGAAGGATCGCTCTGTGTAAAAACTGTGAGGCATTTCTTGTAGATCGTTAAATACACTTTAATCTGTGGTAGAAGTTTTGATCTGAATATTTACACTGAAGGGTCCAAACCTTTAGAACAAACAGAACAGAAAGCATAATTACCATAATTTCTGGACTATAGAGTGCACCAGAATATAAGCCGCACACACATTTTTAATATATATATATATATATATATATATATATATATATATATATATAAGCTGCGGGATGTCCATGTTGTAACATGAGACATTTACACAGAAAGGTTTTTTTTTTACTTTTAATGAAATACATACTGGTATACACAATTAAAGGTTTTTTTCTGAACAGTGCATGTAACACAAGCTTGTGCTCCGTGGAGCAAAAGTTGCTCTGCGCATGCAGGGGAGTCCCCCCTCATGGAGGGGGGGATTCCCTCACCTCCCCATTCTCTCCTCCCCTCTGCGTTTCATTGGTCCACTGTGACCTGTTTGGTAATCGGGGTGTAAATCACCAGCTTTACCACGATACGATTTTATATCGGTTTGTATGACAATACGATTTTTCTCGATATCACAAAGTCTGTCACGATACGATTTGATTCGATTCACAAGTCTGCGATCGATGTATTGTGATATCAAATGCCCATCTCATTTACATATAAATAAATTTACAAAAACAATTCAAATATGATTTAACCATTTTATTTGTTATTACAGGCATTTAAATTTTTTTTTTCTTAATTCATCAAAAAAAAAATTAAATAAATGACCTGTTCAGTATAGTCTCACATTTCTCATGTTTAAGTGCATTTTTTAAACCAGTTAAAAATGTCCTGATTACCTTGCAGTTATAAAGAAACAAAAATAGATATTGAGCTCACATAACATGGCTGTCAGTGCCGTGTTTCTTCTTCAGGTGAACGGACAAATTTATCGTGTTTCCCGAGTATTTTAACGCACACCGGCACCCGTTGTTGCACACGACATGAGTTCTGTCTGTTGAGCCGTCGTTCTGTTGGAAACAAAATATTTCCACAGAGTTGATTTAAATCCAGCAGGAGAGTGAATTTCATTATCTGTGTTTTCTGCCTCGTCTGCCATGTTGCTGAGGCGGCCGCAGAGCGCAGCCGCGCACGGAAATGGTGACAGACGTGCCTTGGGAATTTCAAAATAAAAGCGTATTTTAAAGATGACGATATGAATCGATGTTTTAGTTTTGCCACGATATAACTGAATCATTAAATCAATGTAAATCGATGTATTGTTACACCCTTATTCAGTAATTTCACTGATCAGATTTTTTTTAACCTTTATTTGTACAGGTAATCTTACTGAGTCACGAGGACTCACCCCCCCAGAGAGACATGTATTGGGCAGCTATGTGAGCGCCTGGGTGTGACGAAGCTAAATGTTTTTAGCAGTAGGAAGCTTGTTAGTCCGTCGGGGAACAAAAAAAACAAATTAGCCGCAGCATTGTATAAGCCGCGGTGTTAAAACGTGTGAAAAAAGTAGCAGCTTATAGTCCGGAAATTACGGTAGACTGTGGTTTTGGGCCAGACCCGTCTTTACCTGCATGACTGCGTAGGGCTGGCGCTGCGTTTCCTCTTCAGCGGTCTCCCTCCTTTGTCTCGTGACTGATGCAGGTTCAGCTGTCTGGTGTAGGACGACGGCTCCGAGCTGGAAGAACAAAATAAATAAATCACGATGTTTGGAGAAGAATCACACCTCTGCTGTTGGGCAACAACCTTGAACCTATCCATCTATTATCTTCCACTTGTTCTGAACCATGAATCTTTTCTTTTCTCCCAAGTTTTTACATTGATCAACTCTTTGGGTCACTCTGTGGATCAATTTGTGTTTTTATGGATCGTTGACCAACACAAAGTCTTAACTTCTGATAAAATTAGTTTAAAACTTTTTTTAATCTTTCAGTTCCTGTAAAGCTCCAGTTTCTGAGCTTTCTGAGCAGCAACGACATGAAAAGTGTTGAATTTATTTATTTTTTTATGTTGCTTCTCCTTCTGCTTCATCAGTTCCTTACAAACAAACCTTAATTTACAGGCGATAACGTTCAGTAATTTTGTTACTTTTCAAAAACTATTAATGCTTTTTAACTTAAAACTTTTAATTTTAGCTACTGACACGAAAAATAATCTTCCCTCCAACATAAAATCTGCTTTGTTACAATGCTTTTGGCAAATTAATGAATGACATGCTCTAATTTGTTAAAAAGTCCTTCAAAACAGAGACGTCTGTTTAATTTCATTAAGCTCTTAAAAACAAATGAACTTTAATTAATTAATTTAAGTTCTGCTAAATGTTTCCCAGCTTTTGTCTTAAAATTATTTGAAAAAATATATATACAAAACAAGCAGATTGCAGCAGAGAACAGACCCACTCCGTTACCTTAAACTTCATTTAAAATTTAAACTTCTTTTTCTTTTAAAGATTATTATTGTTTGAATTAATAAAAATTAAAAAAAGGGGGCAGATATCACAAAATATTTTCTTCTTTCTGCTGCCTTTCATTTTATTTGTGATTGTATTTCTTGTTGTATATAGAATTGTTTTGAAAAAATGAATACACTTTATACCGGTAATAACAATAATAATAATTAAACTTTTTTTAAATTTTTTACCTTGGATCAAATCTGTGTACCACATAGCCGAGTCTCTTCAGATGCCCAAAGACCTTTAAAACAAAGAGTCATTAGATTTGAAACACGTTTTCAGAGCATAAATTAAATTTACTGCACCTGAAACTGCTGCAGAGTCAAAGTGTCTGAGGACAGAAACTTTTCATAGCCGTCCTGGATGGAGAGCGGCAGCTCCTTATAAAACACCAACACACTGCCCTGCACACACACATAATACACTAACATTCAGGAGGTAATGGGATCAGCCATGTGTCCTGATTGGTTCAAATAAAAAGACTAATTATGAGCTCTTTGCTACTGAACGTCACATCTGGACCAACAGGTCCTGTCTGCCACTCACACACTCCATCAGGTAGAGAGCCTCTTCCGGGAGCAAGTACTGTTTTCCATTGGCTGAAAAGCCCATCGTCTGCCAAAACTTACCCTGTGAGAGGAAATTAGCATGATAATGTATCAAAAATATGCCAGAAAGAAATGAAGCCATTCAGATTGTTGTCCACTGCAGAAACTGTAACTTTAATGTTGTTTTGCTGACAGATTTGTGTCAAACATAGCAGCAGTAAATGGAGTCAGCAGAAAATCTCAGGGTTTAATAATAAATGTTCTGTCAGTCTGTATTTATTATTTCCAAGCAGCTACAATCAGAATAATACAAATGACAGAACTCACAGCTGGAGTCTGGAGCTCCACAATCTGCTCACTTGGAATCCATGTGGCTTTCACAAGGCTTCCTCTGCAGCGACACAATAAAACAACATTCAGGTGTCGCATGTTACAACGAAGGAATGGACGGTGCGGTTCGACTCACAGCCTCTCGACTCGCTCCTCTGATACGAGGCTCCAGTGTTCGTCCAAACTCTGCTGCAGTCGCCGCTTCTGTTCCTCCGAGTCGTTGGGGAAGAAGTCCTTCTGTCCTCTGACTGGGATTTTATGACTCCTGGAGCGAGCTGCGAACAGCTCACTGGGACTGCACATTCAAACAAAGACAACGAATTACAAGGACGTAAACAAAATGATCAGAGGGTTTAAAGAAGTCAGAGCTCATGTGAGGGGAAGTTTTGAATTTTACAGACATGGACAGTTTCATCGTTACTCAAACTTACAAAAATAAACATTTAAATATTAAGATTTCTGTGCAAACATAAGTCAAGGTACAACACAAAAAATATCTGATTTTAAAAGCATTGAATCCCCAAATGTTGTAGAAAGAACATAAACACAGAAACTGCTTTAAACAGTTTGATGTTTGAGTATTTTTAGCCCTAATTACTTGTAAATTTGCAGATTCGTGTGAGAAACAAGTGACTTTAATGTGATCATGAGTCATAAGATCATGACTCATTGGGAAGAAATTGTTCATTCATATGTCTAGACTTGTTAAAGGTAAAAACAGCCACCAAGCCCAATGTAAAAAATTAAATAAAAAACAGGACAAGCATGGCTAAACAGTAACTTAAAACAAAAAGTTAAATTCAAGTGTTTTTCACTAAAACGCACAACAGAGGGGGATAGAGAGCATATTAGTTATTAAACTTCCTAAGGTAGTTTCTACCAAAGCTACGACTAAAAAATATATACCTAGACGTTGTTTCACAATCATTTAAAATTGTTTTTTGGAGTGTTTTGACTTAAGCTAATAAAGTTAGCAACTGAATCAGACCAACGTGCTCAAAATACCGGCTTGAAAGTTCGGACAACAGAAAATAGACAAACTGAGGGAGGAAATACAATGTAAAATATTTATATTGATAAAGAAATGAATTGGAAAAATAAACTTTAAAGAAATTACCTTAATATCTCATTGTAGAACGCCTCCGAGGTTACCGTCTTGTTTTGATCCGCCATGTTTGCCTCAGCGCCGGCCGGAGGTGACTGTTCTCCGCCGGGTCCTAACGTCCGTTATTTTAAGTCACAGACGTTAAATGACCAGCAGAGGGCGCCAAAACTCAAGTCCTGCTTTGCATTTACTCCAATTTTTTTTATTTGAAGATTTGTCCTTTTAAAATATTTTTTATTCTATGATAAATATTTTTGTTTTAACAGATTTAAAATAATCAAAATCTTGGATTATGCATGAAATTTCTTTTATTTTGTAAATCACATCAAAATCAGTTTACATCCAATTGTTTTATTCGCTCCAAATACATTAAATTTCAGCTATAAATACGATAAAAATGCTAATTTTGCAGGGAAAAAAGTACATTGTAGCAAACACTAATTGCACAACAGTCCTGAAGATCGTCTTGCAAAGAGAACAAAGAATTCAGAACTTCCGAAATAAAATCAGTTGCGTTTCTGCAACAAATTTCAAACTCAAAGTAAAATAGGCCTACGAACAAACAGGAATCTACAAGATCAAGTCCATAAACAGGTGAGGGGAAAAAAAAAAAAAAAAAAAAAAAAAAAAAGTGCAATGGCACTTAAAAGTTAAACTTGTTATTTAATATAAATTGAAGAGCCATCAGCTTGTGGCAAAGATCTACTTTGGTCAAATATAAAAGGTGTGTGTGTGTGTGTGGGGGGGGGGGGGGGGGGGGGCGTAAATAGGAAGTCAAGAGTATTATAAAAGTCATGACTTTAATGGTTTAAGACTTGGGCTTATTTCCCCCCCCCCCCCCCTTCATTGTGGAAATTAACCCCCACCACCTACCACATAGTCAAGTGTAAAAAGTTTTGGCAGGCCTAGCATTAGAAAAAGGCTCTGTCAAGCCAGAGTTAACATTTGGGATGAAACAGCTATTTTGGTTAACAGTCTTGAGTTTAACCCCTGGTGTGTTGGACTCATTACACATTTTTAGATTGACATTGTTAAAACTGGCCAAGACAGATCCATCTCCCCCACCCCCAGGTTACTTGATGCACCCTTTCCTGACTGAGTTGTAGACATTTGAGTTAATGCACTCGTGGTTCATGAGATTTGCCAATGTAAAAAAAAAAAAAGTGTCACACTTTTACAGTTTGTCCCAAGTTTCTTAGGAAATAAAGCAAAATTTTTTACTTTTTCAAAACCATAAACTACATCTTCTAAATACCTCGTTATAAAGAGTTTTACGTCTATAGTTAAATGGAGATTTGTCACATGATGGAAAATTATGTTTTATTAGACAGTTTTAAAGGGTTTGAACAAGTTACATCTCGTGTTTGATCAGTTCAGCTACAGCTTGTAGTCGATGACGGTCACCTCCCCGTTCACTTTAAGCTGTGCCGTTTCCCAGTCGATGACTGTTCCCCTCTGGATCCTCTTCCCACAGAACATGTCCTGGATGTTGTTCTTCGGCAGAACAGAGTCCCACATGTTCACGTCGGATATCTCCCCAACAAAACTCTGGTTGATGTCAAAGCCACCCAGTAAGGCATCGGGATCCTGACCCAGCACAATCCTGCCTCCTGGGCGGATGGCGTGATCAGACTTGTAGATTTTGGTCAAACTTTTCCTGCCGTTCATGAAGAGGGCTCCTGCACCTGAACTGTAGTCCCAGATTACACACAGGTGAGTCTGCAGGGCACCGAGCTGAGGGACCTGGAAGGTTACTGCATTTCCACTCAGGTAGAAGGACAAGCTGTTGGCGAGAACAAGATTAGCTGGGCCATTTTATAAAAACAGCATTTGCCTTTATGAAATATTGAGAAGCATCTCATTGAGTTGGCAAACTTTTTTTTTTTTTTAAAGGAGTCTTTAGAAGGTCATGTGAGGTTCACAGCAGGTTTTAACTTCCTTCAGGAACAAGAGTTTAAAACGGCTTCTCAAACAAGTCTTTAAAATCTGTCTGTGCAAGAGTTATGGACAGAAAACATACGAGAGAAATGCCCGGGTATTAAATCTCAGATGATCAATTAAACTGGACCAAATCTGCTCGTCTTCATTTCAAACAACTCATTTAAAAATCAGAAGTGTGTGTGTGTGGGGGGGGGGGGGAGAAACACTGAGACGAGGTCGACAAAAACGCACAGACAATAGTTGAACAGGCAGTGATGTCATCAGCTCAAAGAGTAAATGCACTTTGTGATTATTGCTAAATTCACGTTTGTTCCTTGAAATCGTTACAAGTTTAAGCCAACAGCCTCAGCTCTGATGTTTTGGTCTCATTCCTGCTTGGACAACTAGTCGGACTTTAACTAGTTTCTTTAAACCATGGATGATGAAAAAGCCATTAACAGAAACCCATTTCAGATTACTGAAAAGGGACTTCCTGCAGAAAGATGCACAGAAACAAGCTGGGCTCTGTAGAGCCACAGCTGAAACTCATGGATGAGGCCTTTTCTGGGGAGGTCAAACTCTGCACACCAACTGAAACTGTGCAGAGGTCACATAGCTCAAACACCCACACAATAGATCTAAAACATTTTCTTTGCAAGTGATTATCTACAGAAGCAGGTTTTAAACAGTAGAGTGAGGTATGAAGAGGGGTTTTTTTTTTTTTTTTTTTTTTACCTGCCGTCTCGTTCGCGCCACACATTCAGCTCATCCGTGTCCTGAGTTCGATAAGCAAACAGGATGACTGCTCGGTCTCCTCTGAGCTCCGTGGCCACAAGCATGCACAGCGTGAACGCCTTCAGGTTGAGGGGTTTCCGAGGGATCACCTCCACATAACTGGTTGCCGTCTCACGGGGGAAGACCAGACTTTTAACGGCCAGACTCCCTGAGAAACAAAAACAGACTCCGATGAAAACATGCAAGAGTTTTGAGAGAACTGAGAATCTTTTGATTAAAAATTTAAGATTATTCAGATCCATCTGTGCAATTCCTTGAAACATTTCAAAATCATTTACCCAATAAAGTCTCCAGTTTTGTTACAAAAAATTTAAATATGCAAGAAATATTTGAATATAAAAACAGAACAGTTTAAGGGATATCCACTTTAAAAGTGATAGTTCTTAGGTGATCTTGTTCGTGGGAAAAGCTTCAGGTAATTAAAACAGTTTAATTATGACAACTAGAAGCACTTACCAGTCAAAGCTGCTGAGAGAGCGATCACAAAGAGGACAACTTTCATTTTGTTGGAATCAAACCTGCAGAAAATTAGTGTAAGAAAAAAAAAACGAGCATTTTTATAAATGTTCACTTAAGTTGAAAACTAGAATCTCATAAACTTACCAGACTGAAACAAGAGTTCTGAAGAAAACAGATGAAACAGTTCCAATGAAACATGAAGTTCACCGTTCCTGTTTTTAAAGCAGCTTCCTGCACAAACACACCTGTTGTATAAACACACCTGTGTTTCAAATTAATTAATCAGAGGCCTGATTAATTCATGTGAAGTCATTAGAGTCGGATGAGACAAATCTGGATAGCTTTTGATTTTTTTATATATATATATATATGGTATGGTATGGTATATAGTTTATTCATTTTAAAAAAGTACAAAACAATTCCATAACAATATAAAAAAAGATACAGAAGATTTAAAATGAAAGGCAGCAGAAAGAAGAAAAAATCTTATTATATCTGCCCCTTTTTTCAAACAATTATTTCAATCATAATAATTTTCAAGTCGCAGAACAAAATGAATAACTTTCTAATGTTTCTAATTCTAATACAAAACACACACTAAGCTACTTCATATATACTTTTTTAACAATTCAGCTTTGATCTTTTTCTTAAATGTGCACATTGACTTGGCATTTTTCACATCACTCTCTAGAACATTCCACAATCCAACTCCTTGGATTGAGGTAGACCTTCCCTTCAGACTAGTTCTGAATTTTGGTTTGACAAATATCTCTATCCCCTTAAGATTGTAACAACTTTGTCTTTTAACAAAATTTCTTTGGATATTTAATGGTAATGTGTGATTTTGAGCCCTATACATAACTGATAAAATACTATAATCTACTAAATCATGGAACTTCAATAACTTCAGTTGATAAAATAATGTGCTTGATGGGTGACAGTAATGCTTTCTGGTGATAATTCTTACAGCTCTTTTCTGTAAAATAAAAATAGGTTTTGTAAATGTTTTACACGCTTTCCCCCAAACATCAATGCAATAGATTAAATGTGGAACAATGATTGTGTTGTACAACATGTACAGAGCTTTATCATTTAATAATTCCCTGACTTTGTATAGTACTGCAATAGATTTAGATATTTTTGTTCTTACAGAATTGATGTGATTTTTCCATGTTAGCTGTTCATCAATGATTACACCCAAAAATTTCATCTCATTAACTCTACAAATCTCAACACCCTCAATTTTAAATGGATCGTCAACAGTTTTCTTTTTGTTACTAAATATCATGTATTTAGTTTTATCTAAATTTAATGGTAATTTATTAATTTTAAACCAAGTTTGTATTTTATCAAATTCTGTCTTCATCCATTCCAACATCCGTTTTACATCTTTACCCAAACATGAGTCTGTGAGAGCAGATGAGTACAAATAAACACCGCAGCATGAAATAAATCAGCTTCATGATGTGATTTTTCACAGTGATTATTCTCGTTAGATATTCATGAGTCTAACAGCTTCAGGGTAGAAGCTGTTCCTCAGTCTAGTGGTTCTACACTTAATGCTTATTAACCTTCTTCCTGAGGGGAGCGGGACAAAAAGTGTGTGTGCTGGGTGAGTGGGGTCCTTCGTGATGCAGGTGGCCCTCTTCCTGCATCTGGAGGTGTAAATGTCTGTGATCGTGGGGAGACTGACTCCGACATCTTCTGTGCAGCCTTCACCACTCTCTGCAAAGCTTTTCTTTCTGCAGCTGTGCAGCCTCCATGCCACACGTTGATGCTGGAGCACAGGATGCTCTCCACTGCACACCTGTAGAAGGAGGTGAGGACTGAGCTTCCCAGACCAGCTCGTCTCAGCCGTCTGAGGAAGTAGAGTCTCTGATGAGCTTTCTTGATCAGGCTGGTGGTGTTGTTGCTCCAGCTGAGGTTGTCATTCAGGTGCACACCCAAGTACTTGTAGCTGGAGACGTCCACCGCAGCTCCTCCTATGTTCATGGTGGGGTGGGGTGTAGGTGTGTTTGTTTCGTCTGAAGTCCATGGCCATCTCCTTTGTCTTCTTCACATTGACGTGAAGGTTGTTATTCCTTCACCAGCTCTCCAGGTGTTCCACCTCCTGTCTGTAACTGGACTCATTGTTGTTTGTGATGCATCCCACCACCACAATCTCATTTTCAAAATTTACAATGTGACAGCCTGGATGGGTAGGTGCACAGTCATATGTGAGCAGAATGAACAGGGGAGGGCTCAACACATAACCCTGAGGAGAGCCAATGCTGAGGGTTATGGTGGAGGAGGAGAAGTTGTGGATCCTCACAGACTGAGGTCTGTTTGTTAAGAAGTCTAGGACCCAGTTGCAAATGGAGGCGCTTAGTCCTAATGTGAATAGTTTATCCATCAGGGTTTGGGGGATCATGGTATTAAAGGCGGACATGAAGTCCACAAAGAGCATACAGACATGGGAGTCCTTCTGCTTGAGGTGGGTGAGAGCAGTGTGGACCACAGAGGAGATGGCATCTTCTGTTGATCAATTCACATGGTATGCATTCTGATGAGGGACCTCGCTGATGTTGATGCTTGTTTTGATGTGGGTCATGACCAGTCTTTCGAAGCATTTAGCGACTTTCAGGGTGAGGACTACTGGCCAATACTCATTCAGACCAGTCACTGTGGAGCTCTTTGGGACTGGGATGGGATGATGGTGACGGTCCTCAGGCAGGTGGCAGCTGTTGCCAGGGTGAGTGAGGAGTTAAAGATGTTAGACAGCACCTCGCAGAGCTGATTGGCACAGTCTTTCAGCACCTTCCCGGGCATGTTGTCTGGGCCGATTGCTTTGTGAGGATTAATCCTCCTGAAAGTATTCCTTACTTCGGCTGAGATCATGCTGAGAAACTTTCTTCCAGTGGTGAGGTGAGTCTGGTGCTGGGTGGTCTGTTTGGGTCTTCAAGGCGTGCATAGAACTTGTTGAGGGCATCAGGCAGTGATGAGTTTCTAGGAGATTGTACCCCTCTGCCTTTATAATCTGTTATACACTTAATGCCCCTCCACATTCTCTGTGGGTCTTGTGAGGTGAATTGACCCTGGATCCTCTGTGCATATGTGGCTTTGGCCCTCTTAATACCAGCAACCAGCTGTTTCCTTGACCTTCTCAGCTCCTGTCAGTTGCCAGACCTGAAGGCAGTGTCCCTGGCTTTCAGAATGGTGTGAACCTCTGCATTCAGCCAAGGCTTCGTGTTAAAGTAGCTCTTAACATATCTGATGGTGGTGACGTCATCAGCACATTTACTAATGTACCCCAGGCGAGGATGTGTATTCTTCCAGGTCTACCTCCCCTTCATTTAGAGCAGCTTCTCTGAAGACATGCCAGTCTGTGCATTCAAAACAGTCTTTCATTATGGAGTCACTATTTTTCACCCAAGTTTTGACTTTCCTTTGTATCGGTTTGGAGCGTCACAGCGGGGGGAGGTAAGCAGGGGCCAGGAAGATGGAGATATGGTCAGAATGATCATATATGAATGTGTGTGTGTGTGTGTGTGTGTGTGTGTGTGTGTGTGTGTGTGTGTGTGTGTGTGTGTGTGTGTGTGTGTGTGTGTGTGTGTGTGGAGGCTCAGTGACACTATAAATAAAAGTTAAATTCAATTCAACCTGACTGAAAAATGTTGGATTGTATACCTAGATTATTGAGCATGGACTTTGTTGTTTTCAACCAGTTTGACAAGACTGTCAACAAGGAATAGGGCCGGCAATGGAAGCGGGGACGTACCAAAGAGACCATCTTATCACAAGCAGAACTGGTTTGTTCCACTTTGGAGTAAGCTGTTGGAGAAAGAATCAGTTTTGTTGTGTGTTTCCTTGACTGATGAAGCCTTCCGGACTGAAAGCGAAGCGTTTCAGCACAAAAAAAAGAAACTGTCCAGATGACCTGACTGAAAAATGTTGGATTGTGTACCTAGATTATTGAGCATAGACTTTGTTCAATTCAACCTTAATTTATACAGATTAATGTAATTGAGCCTCGATGACTCATTTACAAAAGAGACTTGTTTTAAACAATGTACACGGATGACAACAGTAGACAATCATAAAAAAGCATATAAAGTGAAAAGTAATTAGAATAAATGACATTTAAAATAAACAAAAACAAAAACAGCTAGATTGTAAAGCATTATAAAATACAAATAACAGCACTACCTCTTCAACGAGGTGCATGCACTTCTCCCCGCTCCCTGTTCTCCTCCTGCTTTTTCTTGTTCTCTGTCTGTGTATCGGAGCAGCTCCTATTTTTTACACATCTTCCAAAATGAAAACTACTGTTTTGCATCTGACCTACTGGACTTTCGACGTTAATTACAATTTTTTTTCCTCAACAAAGCGACAGGGTCCTGGACAACCCTCATCTGCTCGGACAACACATGCAGCTGGATATATCTACGGGGAAGTGGAATGTGATGTGTCTACCTCTACTATCGATGGAGGATGCTGAAAATTGCATATAATTGGATTTATGATAGCAGGTTTCCTGTTTGGATAGTCTGGATCCTGGTTTATCAACATACAAAGAAGACGGCCACAGCTAATTTGGCCCTCGTCAGGCTGCTGCCTATGTGAAGGTTTGGTTCGTGCTTTGAGGACTCAAAATCAGCTGATTTACGAGCTGAACCGTATGCACACTAATCAGGCCATTTCGGACCTTGGAAATTATCAGTAATGACTCAACGGCTGACAGAAAAACAGTCTGCCTGAAACAAATCAACAGTTGTGGTTATCTGAATCTCTCCCCAGCTGGCCACGGAACAGGCCGACTTAATTTCTCATGGGAAATGTGTAAACTAAGGAAAAGCTTCACCAGCCCCCCCCCCCCCCCCTTCCTTCTGTGGAGTCTTATCAGAACTGTGCCAGCTGACCATCATCTTATCAGGACAATGGACTATCTGTTAGTGCTTCATGGACCGCCATTCATGGACCGCCTCATTGTAAATGCATATGTAGCGTGTTCATAAATGTGCTTAGCTGGCAGAGTTTTTTGACGTCTTATATCTTGTCCTTTAAGGACAAGGTGTGACGAGATCTTTTTTGTAATGTCACTACCCATCTCCTCATGCCTTTGTCCCTTTTCCTATTTAAAACAATGTATTCTGGATAAGAATAAGGCGGCCGCGTTTTATAGC